CTTTTTTTATTTTTTGTGGATCCCCTGTAGGAAAAAATGAAAAAAAAAAAAAAGAGAAAGGAAAAGCTATCCCTTTTGATGTAGACAGTATTTAACCGTACCAATTTGCACTGCAAGAAAATCGAAGTTTACATAAACAAATTATTTTTTTTCCTTTGTGTTTTTTTTTTTTCCCTTCCTTTCCGACCTTAATTTTGCAAATGACTTGCATTTTCCACGGTGAGCGTTAGTCAACCAGTGACCGGTCTACAATGAGAAAGGAAAAGCTATCCCTTTTGATGTAGACAGTATTTAACCGTACCAATTTGCACTGCAAGAAAATCGAAGTTTACATAAACAAATTATTTTTTTTCCTTTGTGTTTTTTTTTTTTCCCTTCCTTTCCGACCTTAATTTTGCAAATGACTTGCATTTTCCACGGTGAGCGTTAGTCAACCAGTGACCGGTCTACAATATGTTACTGTGTTTTAGCCTTTGCTTTATGTGTATATGTGAACTTTTGTTATAAACAAGTCTTCTTAAATATGTGTAACGCTTATTTTCTCCTTTTACCGTAGCAGAAAAGAATGCGTATATCTGTGTGTATGTATACATATGCATGCGTGCATAGACGTACATACATACACATATATATAATCTCTCTCTCTATATATATATACATATATATGCACCGCCAGCTTCCTTTCTCCAGAGACGTGACTCTCGTAATTGCTTAATATGCGCCTTCACCGGCAAGAGTCGAGTTTGGAGAAGGGAGAATAAGGCAAAGTGACAAAGTAAACTTCATTTTCAGGCAGTGTGTCCGGGGGCCGAGGCGCAGCCAGAGGGGGAGGAAAAAAAAAAAAATATATATATACGCAGCCCTTCCAGGTTGTGTCAGCGCGGGCGAGCAAGGCCCACTCTGGGAAAGGCGGAGATGGAACAACCCATTTCCAGAGTTTTCCTCAAGAAAGTGGCACTTCCTTGAGAGGGAAAGGGGATTATTTTGCTCCCCCCAGCCCCAGCCCCTTTCCCTTCCCCTCCTCCCCCTGGGGCTCCCCTGCCTGCCTTTGGCAT